TGCATCTCTTTGTGACTTGTAGCAGTTTTGCTCTAATGAATTCCCTGATATAGCAGACAGATGAGTGTAATGTTAAATCCAAGATGTGCCGTGCCACTCATATTCTGCTTAATAAAGTCATGTGTGAAATTCTACAGCTGTGCTTCAGTTTGGACAGTGGAGATCCTCCTGGCTACAGGCTGTCTTCAGGGTTCTTTAAAAAGCCCCTGGAGGAATTTCATGTTATTGTATTACAATTATTTATAATCCATTTCCAATTAAAATGAAGGAATAAGGTTTGGGTTAACACTGTGTTGTTGCATCTACAGTACTTCTGGTAATTATTTCCATTTGCTGAATGTATAGACATTAAATTACCCTTACTTACAATAACGGTAAACACAATAAATAATTAGAATTGCTGTACAGACTGTTCAGTTATCAGTATCAGCTAGAACTCTTTTCTGATGATCTGTTTTTGGGTTCCCCATAAAAGCTGCTATCAATGCTTTGACTACTTCACTGCTGTGTGCAGTTCCATTAAGATATGGTGTACTTTTAAAAGACTGAAAAAAATTTAAGCCCAGCTGTGTTTTAATTCTTCAATTAACACATAAACATTGTCATGTTTTTACTACTTCAGGAGTTCTCTAATCTCTGCGGAGTGATTCTGCTATGTACAGTGGGGAGCCACTCTTCCGGCTCCCCGCTGTATCAGAACGGGGTTTACAAACAACACCATTTCCATGGTTGTGTCTCCATCCCTGTCTCTCTACTTTGCCATTCATGAAGCAGAGCCGCAGCATCCATCACTATGCAGTGTTTTGTGAATAGTGCAGTACAGGGAGTGGGATGGAGGCACAACACCAGAACTAGTGTCAACCATAGATCCCGTTCCAAAGCAGCAGGGAGCCTGAAGTGGGGCTTATTTTTAATGGTATCCCAATGCACAAATACAGTTAAAAAAAAAAATATTTGTGCTAAAGTGCACCACAACACACAGAAGTCAATGCTCTGTGCGGAGTGCTTAAAAAAAAAAAGTGCAAGTGCATTATTTTGTGCGCTGTGGTATATTGTGGGCCTATTTAAAACCGTGCCTTAATGCAGTGTACTCCAACACATCAAAATACTACACTTACACATAATGGTTAAATCATACAAATGTGTGAATTGGCCCTAAAAGAGGACTTTATGGATTAACATTTGCAACAGGTGGCTATGTAGTAGTGAAATTCAAAAGTATTGGCAAAACATTATTAATTATAACATGATGACCATTAACGTTATCAATTTAATCAAATTTCTGAAAAAACATCAAAGCAATAAAAAAGAAAATTGTGTTCATTTTAACCACTTGCCAACCAGCCAACAATAATTTTACCGCTGGTCGGTGGCTTCCCCAGGCACCACAATGTACCAGTATGTCGCAGTGCTCATGGGCACTGCTTCCCTTGACCGGTAACCACTCTGTCCATCGGACACAGCAGATTGCGGTGCTCGATATAGGGCCACTGTGAGCAGCCCAGATACCACGTGATTGCTGTGAGATCACATTTCACCTAGTAAACAAATGAAAAACATTTAAATAAATGGAATCTATTCATGATATCATTGTTTACTACTGTATGTGATCTGTGGTTTAGTCACCAGTGATCACATGGTACCTGGGCCAATCACAACATCCTGCACCATGTAATAGCTGTGAGCTAACCGCAGCATCACAATAGTAAACAATGAGTCATGAATGAAAGCCATTCATGATAGTTCAAACGACTGAGTGTTACAATGATCATCACTATAATAAGCAATCACAGTGTAAAAAAAAAAAAAAACCCATCCCTTATCAAATCCCCAGAGGTGTCATTATGGTGACACAACTGACAGTATGTAAAAAAAAAAAAAGAGGGAAAAAAGCAAGTTTTATGTAATTTCATTTTACAAAATTTTTGACAAAAAATTACAACTTCAAAATAACTTCCCATATGTCTTACGAAATACCCTGGACTGTCTGCTTTCCAAAAAAGGGTAATTTGGGGGGTATTTATGCTGTCTTGGTATTGTAGGGGCTCAAGAAATGAGATAGGCCATCAGTACATCAGGACTGATCAATTTTAAGATAAATATACGATAGTTCGTAGGCTGTATATCTCTCACACTGTTTTGGATTATGTGTACCAAATAAATGTAGCGGAAAACATTTTGGCCTAAATTTATGAAGAAAGATTATTTGTTTGTAAAATTTTATAATCGTCTATATAGCAAAAAAAAAAAAAAGTGGTGATTAAATACCATAAAAAGAGAGCTCTATTTGTGTGAACAAATGATCATTTCGGATCATGATCATTTCATTTTGGATACAATATTGCATGACCAAGCAATTACCATTTAAAGTAGCACAGTGCTGAATAGTAAAAAAAAAAATGCCCTGGTCATGAAGGGGGTAAAACCTTCCATAGGTCAAGTGGTTAAACATCAAGAATGCACTGAAGAAAGTGAATAAGCGTCAAAAGTGATTCTTCAGTCAACCAATTAGTTTAATCTTTGAGTTTATCTCACAACATCAGTGAACAGGGTTTGAAATGATTGTAGAAATTAACTGGTAATTGCTGAATTCAGGATATCAAATTAATAGGTGTATGGCCAGTATAAGGCAGGACATTGACTTCAAAGGGTGGCCACCTGTGCAGGCAGGATCCAAAGCTAAGAACTTTATACGTTGTGCTAAAGATACAAGTAGAAATGCAGGGAACGCTGCTGGCACTATTTTATTAGGAGGGGAACATTGAGTTCTGGGGAAGATTTTATTAACAAGTCTGATTTGTTATTCTGCTGACCGGCTATCTAGAGAGTGGCAGGTCTAGTGACTGGGGTACTATTAGCTCACTGCTGTAACCAAAAACTTATCTGTTGGCTCACACTTACTATGCCAGTTCATATTGCAGAGGAATTCCAGAATTGAACAATGACATTGCTGAATGCTGTCCTTGTGTCCTCGATTCTTTAGATTAGCAAATATGTCCTTGATCGTAAGATAATATATATTGCATAATACAGTTCTCAGCATAAATGAGTATACCCCTTTGAAAAGTAAGATTTTAATCCATATCTCAATGAACACAAGAACAATTTCCAAACTTTTGACAAAACTTAGTGTTAATGAACATTTGTTTAGCTAGTTACATGAAAGTAAGGTTAATAATATTTTTTTAGATTATTAATAGATTACAAAATCTTCAGTTTTACTCAAATTAGTTGATGCAAAAATGAATACACCCCACAACAAAAACTACTACATCTAGTATTTTTATGACCTCCCTGATTTGTAAGGACAGCACCAAGTCTTCTAGGCATGGAATGAACAAGCTGGAGACATATTGCAATATTCCATTCTTGAAGAACGACCTCTTTTAGAGCCTGGATGCTGGATGGAGAGTGATGCTCAACTGGTCTCTTCAGAATTCCCCATAGGTGTTCAATTGGATTCAGATCAGGAGACATACTTGGCCACTGGATCACTTTCACCCTGTTCTGCAACAGTGGCCTTAGATGTGTGTTTTGGATCATTGCCATGTTGGAATAGTGCATGACGACCAAGGGCATAGAGCGATGGTAGCATCTTCTCTTTCAATATAGAGCCATACATATGTGAATTCATGATACCATCAATAAAATGCAGTTCACTGACACCAGCAGCACTCATGCATCCCCAGAGAAGAACACTGCCATCACCATGTTTCACTGTAGGCACCATGCATTTTTCTTGGTACTCCTCACCTTTGCAACATAAATGTTTTTGGAACCGATGGCTTCAAAACTGTATCTTGGTCTCATCACTCCAGAGTACAGAGTCCCAGTAGTCTTATTTTTCAGCATGGGCCCTGGCAAATTCAGGCTTTTTTGTGCATGGGCTTTAGGAGAGGCTTCCTTCATGGACGACACCCATGCATGCCATTCCTCTGCAGTGTACGCCGTATTGTGTCATGGGAAACAGTATCCCTATTCTGGCTTTCTGCTTCTTATGCAGACTGCAGTGAACTTGCTTGGCAATTTTCTTTACCCTTCTCATCAGAAGACGCTCCTGTCGAGGTGTTCACCTCCATGGACGGCCTGAACGTTTCTGTGAGATGGTTGCAGTTCCATCTTTGTTAAATGTTTGTATCACTTTTGCTACAGTATTCTGACTGAAAAGTAAATCTTTGCTGATCTTCTTGTAGCCTTCTCCTTTCTTGTGTAAAGAACTTATTTACTTTCTCAGGCCTTGTAACATTTCTCTTCCATGTGGTGCCATTGCTGACAGCATGAAATCGAAAGGGGCTTTCTTTGTTAAGTAACACCCTTTTATAATTCACTGTCTGCTGGACACCTGTTTAATGAATAATTATACTCACCTGGAGTTGAATTCTTGTTAATTAGGATTTTGTGGTCTAAAATTTAGCTTTGCTCTTAAGACTTTCATTGGGGTGTATTCATTTTTGCAACATGGTCTTGAATTCATTTGTTAGGAGAAATCCATTTTGTGTGTGCAAATTAACAAATCTTGTTTGCAATAAGTGGCCCGCATTTGTGGGAGTATTTTGTAGTATAGTGTCCCATAGAAAATGTTGATTCTGAAAGGAAGGTAAAGGTTTTCTGACAAATCTGTTGGGGCGTACTCATTTATGCTGAGCACTGTATATATTGAATAATAAGTCATTATGAAGTGCAGTAGCATACAGTAAGAAATCAACTAGCGTTGATGTGACCACCAATATTATTATTATTATACAGGGAGGGGACTGGAGCATTGGCAGGGGACCTGAAAAGAGGAGGATCAGGGCTGCTCTGTGCAAAACCATTACATACAACAGATAAGTGTGACATGTTTTTATTTTTAAAAAATGCCTTTAACCACCTTCCGCTCGCCCTATAGTACAAGGACGGGCGCAAGGTGGTTCTCTCGTTCTGATAGGACGCCATATGACGTCCTACCATTCTCACTGCGCATGCGCGGCTCAGGGAGCACGCAGCGTGGCAATCGCCAGTGTGCTGTGTCCCACGGACACAGCGGATCACGGAAAGAGCCGAAGATGTCGGCTCGGTCATGTGATCAGCTGTGTCCAATCACAGCTGATCACATGTAAACACGGAAATGCCGGTTATCGGCATTTCTCTCTTCTCAAGCTGTCACGCTGACCGTTCGAGAGGAGAGGAGAGCCGGTAATCGCCTTTCCGTGGAGGGGACATGTGCACTGATCATCAGGGCACTGATGATCAGTGTGCCCTGATGATCACTGTGGCCCCAGAAGTGCCACCTGTCAGTGCTCATCAGTGCCACATATCAGTGCATACCAGTGCACATCAATGCCACATATCAGTGCCCATCTGAGCTGCCTTTCAATGTCACCCATCAGTGCCAGTCAGTGCCACCTATCAATGCCAATCAGTGCCACCTATCAGTGCCAGTCAGTGCTGCCTATCAGTGCGCATCAGTGCCACCTATCAGTGCCAGTCAGTGCCGCCTATCAGTGTCATGTATCAGTGCTGTCTTTCAGTGCCCATCAGTGATGCCTGTCAATGCCCATCAGTGCAACCTACCAGTGCCTCCTCATCAGTGCCACCTATCAGTGTTCATCAGTGCAGCCTATCAGTGCCCACCACTGCAGCCTGATTAGCGCACATCAGTGAAGGCGAAAAATCACTTATTTACAAAATTGTACAACAAAAACTAAGAAAAAAATGTTTTTTTTTCAAAATTTTCAGTGGTTTTTGGTTTGTTTAAGAAAGAATAAAATCCCAGAGGTGATTAAATACCACCAAAAGAAAGCTCTATCTGTCTCAAAAAAAATGATAAACATTTCATATGGGTACAGTGTTGCATGATCGCGCAATTGTCATTCAAAGTGTGACAGCACTGAAAGCTGGAAATTGGCCTGGGCAGGAAGGGGGTATAAGTGCCCTGTAGGCTTGTGGTTAAAATCACTTTAATTCTGTTTTCGAATTTAACAACTCGTGAATTGGCTGATGAGTCCCTTGGAGTTCTTTTTAAATACAAAAGCCTTTAGCTCCCAGATTTGTATGAGCGCACGCGGACATTTGCATGACACACATACCGTTTACATGTTCAAACTGAGCTGTCAGTTGGTATTCAAAATTTGAGGAATGGGATACATGCCTGTGCTTCCTTTTGTGTCAGGTTTAGTGCATTTCAAACCACAATAACCAATTGGTTTATTTCATTGACGTCACTGGCGTTTGAGGAATAATGCCTAGAGGAGTTTAGTTCACAAATCCTTCTCATATCCCACTGCTCTTTCTCTATTTGTACCAAAGTAGTGTTGCCTTTTAAAGAGAACTAATCAATAAGAGGATGAAGGATGTAAGAATCCAAGTCTCCTCTCTTCTAAAAGCTTAAAGTGACACTAAATTCTTACATTAAAAATAATCTGTTCTGCCACCCTTTGCTTTGCAATATTCCCTCATGTCTTTCCATGGTTCCTCTTACTTGTTTCTGTACGATATTTTCCCTTTTGCCGTAAAGCAACTTGTTCCCCTTTTTTATTTTTTTTTTTTTTTTCTGTACATTTATTTGAATTGTCCTATGCTTGTTCCTTGGCTTTGGAAATTCAATAAAATGTTTGAACAAGAAAAAAAAATCTGTTCTAGTGTTTGTTTTAAACTCAAAAGTACATTGTATTGCTCTCAGCCTCCTCCAAATCTCCTTTTATTGCTGCTGTAATCCAACTTCCTTTTAGAAGGTGGCTACATTTGTTTTCTGTTGTCCCACAGTATGTAGGAATGTAGCCACCTTCTATGGCTCCAAAGATGGACTGTGGATTATTGACTATGGGATTTGTAGTGTGCATAGAGCAATGTACATGACTGCAACTAACATGATCTGCTTCCTCTAAACAAATGGAAGTAAGGAGGGAAAGGAGAGGTTCACAAGCTCACAGAAGACGTTACAAGGAGACAGAAAAACACCATAAGAAACAATTTAATAAGAATAGATTATGGTGCCATTAAGTAGTGGGTATGTGTGTAATAATTTAGAGAAAAAGAAAATGTTTTTTGGCCTCATGCACATGGTATAAAACCACCAGTAGCATACGCTTTTAGAATGCTGCATTAAAAACATGAGTTTTGTCACTTTTTTTTTGCGTTTTTGCATTAGCTTTTTACAGTGTTTGCATTTTTTTTTAGCAAAATTATACTCCCACAAAATCGTCAGGCTCAAAAACACTCATAAACTCTGGATAGCCGCAGTTTTTTAGTGTTTCTCAGCTTTTCTCAACGTTTTTCAGCTTTTATCAGCGTTCAAGCATTTTTACAGCTAAAAAAAACTCTAGAAACCCACTAGTTCTGGGTTTTTTTTTTTTTTTTCCAGCCAGAAAACGCTCCTGCCAAAAAACACTGATTAAATCGTATGTTTGCATAAACACATAGGATAACATGCTGGGGAGTTTACTGGATGTAGTAAAAAATGCTAGAAGCCAAAAACAGCAGCTATAAAAATATCCAGTGTGCATGAAGTCTTAGTGTCACTTTAACTCCAACCCAGGGACCCATCCTCACTTAACTTAACCCTTCCCAACTTCTACCCAGTTCCCCAGTAGACTAAGCATAATACTAAACTAAATGGCCCAGATACGGAACTAAAGCCATGGTCAAGGGACATGCTAGGTCCCAATCCTTCTTTCTGCTGGACTTCAGGGGAGCGGTCCTTCTTTGGTTACCAACATAACTGCCTGGTGACATGAACACTTTGCATTGAGACAATCAGCTGGGTCCTCATAGGCTCCTAAAAGACTTCAGACAGTTGATCTCTGGTCTTCACTCACAAAAGAGGAGGGTCACATGATGGTGTACTTGAGAAGTAAAAGAGAGCTTTGAAAGTGTTTTTTGGGTGAAATAGGTGGGAGCAGGGTGGGTGGGAACATAATTTGCCCAGAGGTTGGCTTTAAGCTGTTGTAGTGGTGCCGACTTAGGCTAGGTTCACATCTGTGCGGGTGCTGCTGCTGTGGATCTGTATGATCTGCACCACCCGCACAGAGAACTGTGGACCCGTGGGTGGGTGCCATTAGTTCTAATGGCACGCCGCCCACACTGGAAAACGCAACCATACTCAGAGTGTTCTTCATTTTCGGAAGAAGAGCAAGGACGTCTTCCCTGCGTGTCATGTGGCACCGGTGTCCATTCAAATGGGTTCTCGTGCCACGCAAAATGCTGCCTGCACGGCCGCATATATGTGGACCGGGGCTTAAAGTATATGTAAACCCTCACCTTGTAAAACAACCCATTCATACCCTTACCCTTAATAATACCCATTCATACCCTTAATAACATACCCTGTTCCTGCTGGTTGTAGTCATGTATGCAGCCTCTGGGCAGATAGGCTTTAACGCCGAGAGGCTGCATGTATGCATCCAAAATGTAAACGTTTCTGTGCTGGGAGCGCATTTGCAGCACAGTTACCAGTGGGTACTGAAAAGCTTCTGACATGTGATCATGAGCTGTCTCATGCAAATCACAGCAGTCATATGATCGGAATGCCAGCCTATGCCTCCCAGCATTTAGAACCTCTTGAAGGGCAGGGAGGCTGATGCAGGAAGGGGTTAAAATAGAAATGAAAAACATGTGTATACATAGTAAAACATTAGAAATACCTTTTTTTCCCCCTTTTTTTATAAGTGATCACATACCGTATATTCTCAGCTGCATAAGGCGCTCTGAGGCGGAGGGGAGGCAAAACAGTAGCACACTGATCTTCCCAGTGAATAACTGTGCAGGAAAGGGGGGGGGGGCTGTGGAGTGTCAGCACAAGTCTGATCATTGGAGGAAAACAGGCTGAGTTCCCAGCACAGCTAGAAAACTGATCACGCTCTGCTCCCCTGCATAGTGTGGTCAGTTTTTAAACGAAAAGCAGGGAGACTGGCAGAAATGCCAGATTTTTGACACAAAGGATGAAATCCATAGTCCTCAGGTATATGAATTGCTTCCATTTTCTTTAACTCTGAGGGATTAGTGTTGCAGCTTGTAGTCTCTCCCTGTCAGAGCCGCAGTGCAAGCCCAGTGTCAGGCTTTTAGAGCATTATGGAGGCTGATCTGTTTCCTGTCTGAGCTCAAGGCTGATAACGGACAACAACGCCTTTATTGTGATTGTATGTCATATGAAATGTTTTTTTTTTGTTAAGGCAATATAGTAAAAAGCAAGACTCTAGGTAGGTAATTGTATTATTCATGTGTTTTGCAGGTTTGTACATAATTGATCGGTATGCCTAGTCGGGTCTAATCCTTGTATTTGTGACTCTATGGAGCATCACCTCCTGTGCCTGTATTGTGTCATTCATTTTATGCAGGGAGTAAATTGAGCCCTTTTCACAGCTGCAATGTCACCTTTTCCTAAGAACCTCTTTACAGTTTTGTGAAAGGAGTTATCTGAGAAATCACTATGTCACAAGGCTGTTATTAGCTGTCAGCTAGAGGTGCCCTGTACTAAATGCACCACCTGGCTGAATGGCTAGCCTTGAAATGCATTTCAGGTCATACTAAGAGGAATGTGGGAGAGAATATGTTTTAAATGGAAAACCCTGAAGCTCATGTATTACAGAAAGTGAAAAATGCCTGGCATCTTTGTTAGCTTTTATTTTCCAACCTACGCCATAAAAAAAGACAGGTAGGGGTTGATTTACTGAAACTGAACAGTGCATATTCTTGTGCAGCTCTGCATAGAAACCAATCGGCTTCCATTTTTTTTTCTCAAAGCTTAATTGAACTGACGAAGTTAGAAGCTGATTGGCTACCATGCACAGGTGAACCAGATTTTGCACTCTCCAGTTTTAGTAAATCAACCCCTAACTGTCTTTTGAATTTTTTTTTTTTTATGGTGTAGGTTGGAAAATAAAAGCTCACAAAGATGCCAGGTGCTATTTTTGCTTTTTGTAATACATGAACCCATACTGTCCATTAAGTATTTCTTGCTAGGCTTTGGCCATTTCTACCACCTATCTGTGGGCAACCAAAAACCAAAAGGGTATGTTTGTTTCCTGCCACTGTGTTGTTAGAGGCACCACTGAAAAGTCAGCTCAACCCCTGTGCTAACCATTGCCCCTAAGGGATCATGTACAATGCAGCTGATAAACGCACGTTCAGGAGCTTTTCTGCGTTTTTTTTCAGCAGCACCTGAACTCTCCCTAATGTTTTCCTATGTGTCCATGTACACTATGTTGTTTACCGGCAGTTGAGTTTACGTTTTTTGAATGCACCAAACTTGCGTTCAGGAGTAGATTTTATCAGCGTTTCAAACACCAAACGCGTGTAAACGCAGCTAACCGCGTTTATAAGCATTTGCATTTAGAAGCGTTTTTTAACTGTTCCATATCCAAATTCTGTCCAGAGCTTTTTTTTTCATCATCAGAAATGCATGCAAAGTGTTTTCCATGTATTCAAATGGACCTAGCACACCAGCGCAGTCAGTTCCAGGTTTCACGTGAAGGAATAAATGGTAGAACGTGCTGCATTATGCTCCTGATGGGATCCATAGC